AGCTTCGTGCTTTGAGAGAAGAAATGGAGGATTCAAGTTTCAACAAATCTATAAGCTCTGCTAGACTGGACAGTCTGCAAGCAGAGGTAAAGACATTTATAGACACAAAAGTTTAATTATTATCAACTTTGATCTATGGCAAAATGGTCAAAGAAAGTATGTTGATTCATGGTTTCTGACTATTATTTTTCACTGATCTTGTACCATAGAACAGGGTCCTGAAAGAGCGCTGCATTCGTATTGATGAACGATTGAATTCAACCCAAGAAGACAATGACCGGCTGAGGTCTGAGAGGGATGGATTGAGAGAGAGGGTGATTGAGCTTCAGACCAGCCTGAAAGATCAAGAAACTGAGGTGAGGAGGATGTGCCTGATGATGATGGGAGAGTAAAGAGCAGAAGGAGAGAGAGGGAATCTCTGTGTAATTGTCATATAAATGCCACATATAATCATAATTTACACCCTACATTTAACATAAGAAAAAAATTATAGCATTTTGTGAAGCTGCACCAGGTCCTCTTCTACAGACACCCACTACCAGTACTTTTGGGAAGTACATTTAACAAGTCTTCCAAAAAGAATGAAGCACAAGTAAAATATCTAGTTTAATATGATGAAATATCAGCCATGTACAGTATATTCACTACAGTTCAAAAATTTGGGATCAGTATAATTGAAAAAAAAAAAAAGAAATTTGGGTAACACTTTACAATAACGTATCATTTGTTAAAGGGATACTCCACTTTTTTTGGGAAATAGGCTCATTTTACCACTCCCCTAGAGTTAAACAGTTGGGTTTTACCGTTTTCGAATGTATTCAGCCGATTTTTTTGATATTTAGAAGAATATCAGTAACCAGACAGTTTCTGGTCTCATTGACTTCCATAGTATATTTTTTTTTTCTACTATGGAAGTCAATGAGACCAGAAACTGTCTGGTTACTGATATTCTTCTAAATATCAGAAAATCGGCTGAATGGATTTGAAAACGGTAAAACTCAACTGTTTAACTCTGGGGGAGTGGTAAAGTGAGCCTATTTCCAAAAAAAGTGGAGTATCCCTTTAAATAATGGATAATATACAGTCCTTGATCAGTGTCTTGCATCACTCTGAAGGGTTATTTTGTAATAAGTTGCCACATAAATAAATAATTAGACAAGAAATATTGACTCAAGTTGAAATATTTGATTAGGTCTTAAAATGCAAAGCTTCTGCGGAGAAAGCAGCAAGTTCAAACTAGAATGACATTTAAAGGAGAACTCCGGCGCAAAATGAACCTTTGGTCTAATAAAATATCGGTACCTAGTCAACCGTTCTCTGAGATTTGTTTTCATGATAATCGAATGTAAAGAGTATTATCTCTAAAAACTGTTTACCGTATAATGCTAGTACTGGGGGCATTTACGAAGTAAAAAGAAATCGCTAGTTTATACCACTAACAAGGCTCAAAACAGCCCCACACTAACACAGTAACATAATGAGGGTCCCTACATGCAAAACGAAGCATTGAGAACTTTGTAAGAGTACAGACCGTTTAATAAGAAGATACTTTATAAAGACAGTTCACTTCGTGTATACAGGCAGGAGCCATCTTAGAAAACAGTCACGACAAGTCAAACCACGAACGTCGTGCTGAGTGAGCTGAACTGTATGAACGGCGTTCGGGGATCGACTTATCGAGACTATTTTCTAAGATGGCTCCTGCCTGTATACACGAAGTGGACTGTCTTTATAAAGTATCTTCTTATTAAATGGTCTGTACACAAAGTTCTCAATGCTTCATTTTGCATGTAGGGACCCTCATTATGTTACTGTGTTAGTGTGGGGCTATTTTGAGCCTTGTTAGTGGTATAAACTAGCGATTTCTTTTTACTTAGTAAATGCCCCCATTACTAGCATTATACGCTAAACAGTTTTAGAGATAATACTCTTTACATTCGATTATCATGAAAACAAATCTCAGACAACGATTAACTAGGTACCGATGTTTTATTAGACCAACGGTTCATTTTGCGCCGGAGTTCTCCTTTAAGGGATACTGTAGTCATACCACTTATCACATGACATTTTGCCACATAAATAATTATGGGGATTTGAGATAAAACTGTTTTAAAATCGCACCTGGGAAAAAACAACTTTAGATGAAATAAATTAGAATGAAACTAAATTAGATCTGTGACTTTTGGCAACTTCATTCGTTGCACAAATAAAATGGCTTAATAAAAAATGGGATTCAAATTTTAAATGTTTCGTTTTTTATTTTCATTTCATTTTGTATTTTAAACCAAAACTTAAAGTGTGTCCTATATTGCACAAATATGGGTACTATGAATGTAATCTAAACATATTACATCCATAATAATGGACCTACCAGTCTCAGTTGCGTCACTTCACTGCTATACATTAATCCTCTCCCTTCCCTAATACGATCAGAAGTGTACATCAAATGCGCACTTCCGAATTTTGGAGGAAGTAGCAGATCATCTCGGTACTTTTCACCTACTGTTTTTTTATTACTATGTATTCGGACATACTACATAATGTGTTTTGCAGACTATACTAGAGAAGTAGCCGATTTTGGATGTGGCGTTAGAAAACCCACCGATAATAGTATGTCAGGGTAGCCATAAAGTATACTAAATCAAGAGTCACACTTAATATAGTCCTGCATTCTATTTGTCCTAATTTAATAGATTGGGAATTGGGAATCCTAGGTTTCAGGCACAGCTTTGACTGCTGGTCAGGTTGTGCTGATCAGAGTCCATCCACCCTTAGAGAGTTTCAGCCTGGCTGTCTCTGGCTCTTTCACAGCTGGAACAGGAGCACAGCACAGTGTTTCAGCTGCGAACGGTCAACCGTACCCTACTGCAAAGGGTTCAATCCTTGGGAGAAGAGGCCAGTCTGGGGGAGGCTACCTGCTTCCCTTTGTCACTTCAGAGTGAGATCCAACAGTGCCAGGTAGCTCTCAAACCCTGCTTAGTGAAAAGATAGGTGTGCATGCTTCAACTTAGCTTGTAGCAAATGTTTAGAGCACAGTTGTGTGAATTGACTCGGTTTTAATCATGTAAGTGCTTGTTTCTCTACAGACCCAAGTCTCCTTTTAGATTGGGCAGACCACTTTCTATTTCTGCGGACTGATTGTTTTTATTTTGATCTCCAACAGGCTAAAGAATCCATTTTAGCCCATTCAGCCATTCTGCAAGAAAAAGAAGAAGAGATTCATAGGTTACAGAAAGAGGTTAGCTACATAATACAATGCTATTTACTTTTATGCATTTGGCAGACACTTTTATCCAAAGAGGACAACAATGCATGCTTATAGACTGTTTTCATCTAAGGTGATATGTGAATTTTTTTTGTTTTTTTGTTCTTTCATCAGCTACTGTCCAGAGAAACTGAATTAGAAGAGCTGAGGGAGGAGGTAAAACCATTTCGAAACAGTACTGGTAAACCTACTTATAGGTGAGAACTGGATCAAAGATCTTTTTAATCTATATCAACATGGTTTTGTTCTATGTACGTGATTCCAGAGATAAAGTGATAAGCTAATGATCTGTTATGATTATGAATGGAGGACAGTTTGCATAATAGCCTGTCGTCAGCTAGAAACAGACTCAATGTTTTTCTTCCCTCTCACCTACAAGTGCCTTGGAAGAGGAGATCATTTCGGCTCGGCAAGAACGTGATGCACTCAACCAGCAGCTTCTGAACACCATCAGACACAAGGTGGCACTGTCACAGGAAGTTGAGTCTTGGCAGGTTGGTAACTTCCATTTTATTTCTTATTCAGTTTTTTTTATATCTACTGGATTTTGTTTGTAAAGTGTTACACTCTAGAAACCAACCTGAACATTTAGAAAATGCCATCCTTGAAATTTTTCTCGAATGCAGAAACATTCTTCTGTGTACTCTGCATTTGTTTGGAGTTCCTCAGGGGTTAGTATTAGGACCCTTTTAGTTCCCGAATTAAAAAACTGTAAAGGACTCGGAAACACTGTATTATTGTTAATAAGTTTTCAATTCTGGTCCTGGGAATCCACCGCTCTGCGCATTTTGTATGTTCCTTCCTTATTTAAAACACCTGATTTAGATCATGAGCTCATAAGGAAAAAAAAAGGCAGGTAAGAGAAAAATATAAAAGTGCAGAGCGGTGGGTCCCCAGGACCAGGATTGAAAACTACTGTTGTAAAGTTAACCTTTGCTTTGCATTGTATGCGTTTATTAATTAAACTGTACTGAATGTAGAAAATGTATTTTTGCTCTGTTACAGGAGGACATGCGTTTGGTGATCTGTCATCAGGTTAAACTTCAACAACAAGAGAAGGAAAAGGAAAACAAAATGGAACAGACAGGCTTTCAAAGAGGCACGCGCACCACCAAGTCACTGCGTGTACGTGGGGAAGATGGAAGGAAAGGGTTTTTCTCTACTCTATTTGGGGGAGACTGACTGGAGGACAAAAAAATTGGAAAGAAAGATGGAAACATTGAGATATGGAGATATTTCAAACTTTTATCTACAAATGGCAATTGGTTAATAATCTTTAAAAAATCACCCAAATGTGTAAATAGAGAGAATCAAATCAATTATATTTACTCTGAAGTAGCACTATTGCATATTTATGTTTTTTTCAATATTTATTGCAACTTCAAAATGATAAACAAAAATAAATGATAGCATTTATCAGTGTTTTTCTTGACTCTTTTATAAGAGGGGTTATTTATTCTTCAACCATAAAAGAAACGGCCTCTTTAGCACCGTTAAAGGCAGACTTCAGTAAGGCGGTATGCAGCATTAAAGTCAGTAGTATTTCATGTAAACAAAACTTTCACACTCTCAAATTTTTCATTTACAAACAAGATGAGCTGTGTCCCATTATAAATTATGGCCAATGATCATTATGACCTTTACATAAACACATTCACATAGTGTACCAGAAGCGGATATCAATTTTCAATTTACAAACATTACTTTTACAAATACTGTTGTGTAAACAATTCAGTGAACAAAGAATCTTACATCACAAGATAATAGCCCAAACACAAATCTGATCTCAGTATTATCAGGTCGAGACATAAGAAACTGAGAATTCACTAAGTGCTTGTGAATAACACAATTAAAAGTTTCAGAAACACTTTACTATAAGGTCTCATTAACTAACATTAACTAAAAACAAGGAGCAATACTTCGTAAACGATAGTTTATAAAAATACAACTGTTCATTGTTAGTTTATTTTAGCTCAGGTCCATTAAATAATGTTAACAGAACTTTTGATTTTACAAATCTATTAAGTAAATATTTTAATTAATATTAACTAAGATTAATAATTGCTTTAGAAGTGTTTTTCATAGTTAGTTCATGTAAGCGAATGTAGTTAACTATGAAACCTTTTTGTAAAGTGTTACCAAAGTTTCCCAGTTAACTTGTTATTTAAATCAAATCAATATTTGGTCTCAAGATGGAAAATGATGTTTTACTTAGCATCAGTAATGTATAAAAAACTTACTTAAATGTCCTAATCTTGGCTTAATCTAAGCAATGTCTGTAAAAAAAAACAGGCCATAGTGTTTCAAAAGTCAAAGACCACATTCAAATACAATATTGGTCCATTTAAAAGCTGGAACAAATTTTTTTTCACCATAGTGGTCTCAGACTTTTAAAAGCCACTTTGTGTAAATGTGTATGCACGCACACTCAATAATTTTCAATTATGGTATGCGTTTTGTATGATTTTCAACACAGAATAAATAATAGATTCGATTGTCCATATATAGAGTCCGTCAACGTGTCCAAACGGCAATTCGTTTACAAAATGGTTAGTCACGTGACGAGTTGCAGAATGTGCAGCTCCATCTTATTTCTAAAGTCGGCATGCTTTCTTGTGTCCAAAATCTGTTCAACATCATTGCAGTAGTGCCACAGAAGAATCGTTTTGGTAATGTAGTACCTCAACTCAAAGCTGGGCAATGAGCGACAAAGTGGGCATTAACCAACAAGGGCCAAATGTCACATATATAAGTGTCTAAACAGGTCTTCATATGCATAGCATGATAAATGTTAGTTCCAAGAGTTCCTGATGCAGACGATAGTTCTGAACTCTGAACTGCCTTTGAGAGAAAAGGGAATGTTAACGCATAGTTCTCTCCTTCAGGTATAATAGACCCCATTTCATTTCTATGCCAGTGTCTGCTCAACTGAATATGCCATCATCAAGTTTTGCATATCTACTTGGGTTGCTCAGTGTGGCATGTTTTTTGCTTGAATTTGGTGGCTGACTTCACCTTAGAAGCCTTGGTTCATACTCGTAGCCATTCTCTGATGAGTAATAAGCCAACAAATCATCTTCCTCCTCCTCCTCTTCAGCAGGCACTTCGCTTTCACAGCCATTCCCAGAAGAACAGGGAGTTTCCTCTGCACAATATCTATCCATCTCGGAGTTCACAAACGTGTTCACAGTAGTTGCTTGTAGAAATTTGGATGATTCTGAAGTACATAAAGACACTGGGGTGACTGGATGCATATCATCATGATCATCATCCTCCTCCTCCTCCTCCTCGGATATTACACTTTCTTCACTAAGTTCCAGATAAGTAGCTGATGTGTACTTATAACACTGATTTGATGTCTCAGCCTCAGCTTGCTCTAGGTTTTCCCTCTGATGGTAGAACTGAGAGCCATACTCGATATCCTCCTCTGAGACAGAAACACCGTCCTCATTGTCCGCTAGTTGTTTTTGCCAGGTCTGTATAATTTTTTGGAATTCCTCAGGGATTAGTTTTAGGACACAGTTATTTCCTGGAAAAATGATCTGTAAAGGATATATAAACTCTATTATTGTAAATGATAATTATCCTCTACCATGCCTTGCATTTATATATTAAACACATTGTTTGTTCATGTAAGTTTAACATTTGGAACCTTAATAGTTTTACAGTTTGTTCATCATATATATATAGACATAGTGTCCCCAAAAAGTGTTTTGAATCTTAAAGGGATACTCCACTTTTTTTTTTGGAAATAGGCTCATTTTACAACTCCCCCAGAGTTAAACTGTTGAGTTTTACCTTTTTCGAATCCATTCAGCCGATCTCCGGTTCTGGCAGTACCACTTTTAGCATAGCTTAGCATACATCATTGAAGTGCACAAGACCATTAGTATTTCTCCCAAAAAAATAACCAAAGTGTTTCGATATTTTTCCCATTTAAAACTTGACTCTTCTATAGTTACATCGTGCACTAAGACAGACAGAAAATGTAAAGTTGAGATTTTCTAGGCTGATATGGCTAGGAACTATACTCTCATTCCTGCGTAATAATCAGGAAACTTCACTGTCGTACCATGAGTGCAGCAGGCGTAATGTTATGACGCAGCGCCTGAAAATAGTGCCCAGCTTCCAACGTGACCGGGACTAAGTTTGTGTAGTCATTACGCCTGCTGCACTCATGGTACGACAGTGAAGTATCCTGATTATTACGCAGGAATGAGAGTATAGTTCCTAGTCATATCAGCCAAGAAAATCGAAACTTTACATTTTCCGTCTGTCTTAGTGCACAATGTAAATATAGATGAGTCAACTGTAGATGAGTTGTAAAATGAGCGTATTTCCAAAAAAAGTGGAGTATCCCTTTAAGGTCTGGTCACAACATTTTGGAGAAATTTCATGGGCAAAAAAAAGTCCATTTCCATGTCTATTGTCAATACTTTAGTAATGTATGAAGCATATCTCACAAAGAAGTGTTTTTGAAACCATCTTTGGTTCACTTCTAGCCCGACTTCGTCATACTCATATTCTGGTCAGAATGTGAGTCTGAGACCGCTCCGTAGGGCTTTGATTATGAGGCGTGTCTTAACCGAACCAGGGAAAAAAAACCTCTGCACTCAACTGGATAGTCGGACAGACCTACAACCAATCAGAGCAACGCAGTAAGTCAAATACTTTGCATAGCATAGTTGTCAACAACAGATCTTACTTATTTTAGAAGTAAAATAACGAGTGTTGCTTCTTTCAGTTGGTCCTTTCGACCAAAGGAGAAACCACAGCGACCAAAGGAGAAACCACAACGACCAGTTGCTTTTCATTACGTCCCATCATCTTAACTTAGCGACCATCAGAGCCAGCTGATAAGTTACACTTTTTCTGAATATCTGTCCGATCGACATATGCCTTGATTGCAGTTTTCTGTTTGTCTATTAAAATTAATGCGCTGTCGATTAATTTTAAAAACAGACGCGAAAGCGGAATCTATACATCTCAATTCTCCAGCTGCAGTCATCTCTGAGGGAAACCAGTTAGCGCTCTTTGATAACGTGATGATTACGTCCCTGCAGATCATCTGTCCATCATCGTATAAAGCCCGCCCTGGCAATCTGATTGGCCCGATCATTTTTTGCCTGATCATAATTACTCCTCAATGGATCGAGTACAGACCGAACTTCCCGACTTCGGGCTGGCATCCAGGCTAGTTCACTGCATTTTTAAGGAGAAAATACTCAGCAATAGTGTTGATTTACGAATTTGCTCATGGTTTGTCTTAAACCATATTAAAAAGACCACATAGACACATAAACAACAGTTAAAAACTTGATTTTCACCACAGGGGGACTTTGATGATTTAAAAGCAACAGAGTTCCTCACTTTTTTTAAGTTAAAGCTGCAGTCCGCAGATCTGCAATTGCAGTTAGTCGCGGAATTATCAAATTTACGTGAGTTGCACCTCGGCACAGTGCGGATGAATCCAATGTTTTGAGGAGAATGTGAGGCTGTCAATCACCGTGCCGATGTGGATACTGGCATTCAGAATCACAGATTCTACTTTTTGGAAGTATGAACAACATAAGAATTTTCACCTTAAAATGTCATCTGAACAAGTAAGTAATATCCACTTTTGTTTTTCTAGGAGAAAAATCTGACGATCAAAAGCTCAAAACGATCAAAATATTTAAAAGTTGATTAAATCTAATGATCAATCATATCACGTCAAACCATGCAAGTTTACTTTGTTCTCAAATTGTTAATTGTTCCGATATTTATCCTTGTTCTCGCATGGGCCGGTTGCAGTCTCTTTTCCTAAACTCTCAGTCTAAGTCTTTTGCATTTTACAGCGTGTGAATCTATTGTCACTGGTGATTGTCGTTTGAACCTTTCTGGATCCGCAATCAAATTGATAAGTTTATTTATATCAAGAACTGTGAGAAAAGGACGTCCTCACACACAACATAGCCTACAAGCCGAGACTACTTCTTTATGTGTACAGATGTGACGTAATGATGCAAAGACATGCTCGAATCTCCTGCAAAAATCCACCAGTACCACTGGAATTAAAAACATTCATACAAGATTACCGCTTTGAAACAAGCTAAGGCAAGCAGAGAGTTATGAACACTGGCTGATTATGTTAGCCTGGATGCCAGCCCAAACTCCGCCCACAACATAGTTTGGTCTGGACTTGATCCATTGAGGAGTAATTATGATCAGACAAAAAATGTTTGTGCCAATCAAATTGCCAGGGCGGGCTTTATACGATGATGGACAGGTGATCTGCAAGGACGTAATCATCACATTATCAAAGAGCGCTAACTGGTTTCCCTCAGAGATGACTGTAGCTGGAGAATTGGGATGTATAGATTCCGCGCTCGCGCCTGTTGTGAAATAAATCGACAGCACATTAATTTTAATAGACAAACAGAAAACTGCTATCAAGGCATTTGTCGAACGGACAGATATTTTTGCCCTCCTTCCTACATGATTCGGCAAAAGTGTAACTTATCAGCTGGCTCCGATGGTCGCTAAGAAGATGGAGGAGTCATGGAAGATGGAGGAGTTTCACGCACTCATGGAGGAGTAAGTAAACGAAGCAACACTCATTATTTAACTTCTAAAATAAGTAGGCTAAGTTCTGTAGTTGTCAACTGTATGCAAAGTAGTTGCCTTACTGCATTGCTCTGATTGGTTGTAGATTTACCAACTATTCAATTGAGTGCAGAGGGTTTTTTTTTTTTCCTGGTTCGGTTAAGACACGCCTCATAATCAAAGCCCTAAGGAGCAGTTTCAGACTCATATTCCGACAAGAATATGAGTATGATGAAGTCAGGCTGTGATTATGTACTTGGTCAAACTTATTTTGGATAATGTTTAACCCAAAAAAGTTACGGACTGCAGCTTTAAGTTAACTGATCACTTTTTATAGTGTGTGAAATCTGCGTGGGGAATCTTTCATCCTATAAAGTACACTGTAAAAAAATGATTTTTTGGTTAAGTAAATACTAGTGAAAAAACCCAATGTAATTTACTTGAAAAAGTTAGTTCAGGCAAGAATTTAAAAAACTAAGTAAATTCCATATCAGTACTTATTTCAAGTGAGTATAAATGAAAGTGTAATATCAACTCAATAAAACTTTTCTGATACTGGGGTTCCCATCATGCACTGGACCTTGAATAATTAATGAGGTTCATTTTTCACTGGTTTCCAGCTGTATTTACACTGTTTTATCATTGATTTTTGTTTTCAGTATTAGTAAATTGCCATTTTGTGACATTTCAAGTAAATTTTTTGCTTAAAACGACACATTCAAACACAAAAACGATCCATCAAATGTTACCACCATTGTGTATTGTCTACCAAGTATTGAGGTGTTTGCATTCACATAAGGCTTAAAGTCTGACATGATGTATATATAAATTACTTAGATGATCTAAGTAAAGAACATACAATAAATGACTAATAAAATTCAAGATAATTGTTTTAGTGAAGTGTAATACAAAGGCAAAGGAAATCGGTATTAATCAACCTTTTACAAGCCGAGTTAAAATTACTTATTTTTTGTAAAGTTTACTTAATTCCACATTTCAAGTAAATTTAACTTAAAGATTTCTAATTAAAGCTACTGATAAATATGTTTAGGTTTTTACTTGGCAAATCTTTGTAAATTTACTAGCATTTTCTGAGTGAGATCGTTTAGCAAGGTTTTTTCAAGTAAATCCTACTCCACATTTTTTACAGTGTAAAATTTCATCCGTGAAAATTTGCCCAACAATGGTAAAAGTTACCAAAATTAAATAAACACACTTTATACATCTGTGTCAATTTGTAAATGAATTAATAATAATAAATCCACAAAAAAACAAGACCAGTTGGTTAAAAATAAGTGAAAAAGTGAAGTTAGATCTGATCTAATTTGTTTGCAGAATACTCTTGGTTTGATATTTTGTAAATAATGCGTGTGTGTTTAAATTCTTTTGGGGCCTATATATTCTTAATAAATGTTTGAAGGTGCATGTTCAAAAAACTCAATCAAATAATGTTAAGTGAATTATTTTGATATAACTAACAATAAATGCAAATTAAATTCTCAAGTCAAATACATATACAAAGCTTGATGAACTTCAAAATTACTCTAATACATACCAAGGCATCTGGAATGCGGAGTTTCCTGATTTTAAGCCTTGTGTCGTAAACGCAACCAAAAATTACAACAATCCCAGTTGAAAAAGTAAGCAGCAGAATGGCCGCAATGCACATCATTATCACAGAGCTTCTAGTAGGATCTTTAAGAACATAAAAGATACATTAGCATATATACAGCAGAAATATATAAATATATACATACATAAACTATTGTTCAAAAGTCAATAATTATGCTCACCAGGGTTGCATTTATTTGATCAAAAAAAGTATTGTGAAATTTAATAACAAATTAAAATAACTCTTATTCTATTTGAACATATTTTAAAATGTCATTTATTTATGTTATAGCAAAGATGAATTTTCAGCAGCCATTTATTTGGTCTTCAGTGTCAGACGCAAGTGCTCAAGAAACATTTCTTATATTTAAAAACTGTTTTTGTAGCTTAAAATTTTTACGAAGAGCATGATGATTTTTTTTCAGGATTCTTTGATGAATAGAAAGTTGAAAAGATTTGAAAAAGAAATCGTTTGTAACATTACAAATACCTTGACTGTCACCTTTGATCAATTTAATGCAGCCTTGCTGAATAAAAATATTAATTTTGATCTAAAACAAATTTTACACTGTAAACATTTAAACGATCACTAAGTGATGACAACATATGGATTTTCAATGATTTTTAACTCATCATAATTAGTTAAGCGATTAACTTTTTTATACGTTATACGTTTTATACGTATTTTTTAAGTTAGTTCACTGAAATGACTTAAACCTCAGAGTTGATTGTACGTAAAAATTTAAGGCAGTAAATTTTTTTTTACAGACGCCAATAAATAAAAATAATCTTATGCTGTATTTGTAAAAAGAAATATATATATATATATATATATATATATATATATATATATATATAAAACATACACTACCTAAGATACATTTAGTGGTGTTGAAGTTGTTGTTCTTTGAGGCGGATTGATGACTGGCAGAAACACTAACACAGTAGTTCCCACCAGATGGCACATCAGGGAAAGTGTAGGAAGAACTTGAGGTTGATATCGGACCTACACACTTAATAAAAAAAATAAAATAATAATAATAATATGGACATATAGACTATTTCAATTAAGTAATGCATTTTAAATTGCGGACATTCTGAAATTTCATTATAATAAGCAGTGATGGTACATTGGAACAGATATTCTTGCTGATTACCTTTGATTCCCCCGTGAGACTTTTCCAACAAAGGTATAGCAGGAATTTCAGTGGTCCGATCCCTGGTTTTGATTGCAGCCAATGACTAAAAGCAATACTAATGGCCTTTTGGTCAGTTGAAATAGTTAAATTCGGAGAACTCAGATGAGCTACAGAAAGATCCAACAGAGAGTCAAGCACAACCATTTCAGAAGAGCATTATTTGAACTTTTTTGACAAAAACGATTTATGACATTCAATTTAAAAGCAACTTATATTGGAACTTACTGTCTCCATATAGCTGGAAAGTCTTCGATGTTGTACTCCAATCGGAGCTCTTCCCTCTAAATGTGGTCTTGACCCTCACAAAATAATTCCAAAAGAGCTCATCAGGTTGCAGGTCAAAGGTCAGCTCGCATTTCGGTATGGCTATATTAGTGCAGTGTGGAGACCGGATCCACTCTCCTCCTGTAGACCTGCATGAAAAACACATATCATTATCATTGCTTTATTTTACAGTCCTGTTGCCCATGTACATACAATGTACTTATTACTGTAATTACAATAACTAGGCCATAACTAGGTACTAAACCTGAACCTACTCCTAAACTTAACCCCAGTACTTATATTACCCTTATATTACCCAGTATTTTCTTAGATAAGTGCACTAAGTACATATACTATAAAAAAGGGTTACACTTTATTTTAAGGTGTCATTGTTGCAGTGTAATTGTATATAATAATAATTTGTTACATTTTATATAGTGCTTTTTCTGGGACCTGAGTACTGAGTATTTAAGTATTTAGTATTTAAGTACTGAGTAATACCAACTACATGTACTTACTAATGGGTTAGGATTAGGTTTTGGTTGACAGTTATTTGCATGTAAGTAATTATCCATTATTTATAATTATTACTATGGTAAGTACGTGTAACATATAACAAGGACACTGTAAAATAAAGTCTTACAAAACAAGCTACACAAAATAGGTTGAAAAGCATTTATCTGAAAATATATTAAAAGAGTAAAAGTTAGTTATGAAAGGTATTTACATGTTTTGTACAGTTATAAACTCCAAGGTGTATTTGGTGCCAGGAGGGTTTCCTTGTCCAGGAAGCCATTCAACGGTAGCCTTAAAATCCAATAATCCTACAGTAAGGTTCTCTGGACGAAAAAGCATTGCTGTAAATAAGAGGGGACAAAAGTCATAGCATTACAAAACATACAAATGCCTAAATAATATACAAGGCAACATGTATTGACAGTTCCAGGGAGCGTGCAACAAAATATATGTATATTGTGAGGTTAAGAAGGGAGGTTATCATTTCTGACTTTCAAGTCACAATTCAGAAGCATAAAAAATTTAGCTACCTTTAGATGGCACCAGACATATCTGGAGCAATGTGAACATGCAGGTTAGAAAGCAGGTCATTGTGCCATTAAATCATGTTTAAAAAGGGCTGAAGTTTATCCTCAATCCTCCCTGCAAAAACATTATACAGCACAAGACATACAATTACAACCAATCACTGATATTTAATCATGTATTAACAAACATGAACAATGAGCATTTTTTACAGTATTTATTCATCTTTGTTATTGCTAGTTAAAAAGACATTCATTGTTTTTTGATGTTAGTTCACAATGCATTGAATAATGATTAAGATACAGCCACTAAGACTAACAAATCTTGTAGAAGTATTGTTCACTCTTAGTTCATGTTCACTAAAGTAGTTATATAAACACTAATAAAAAGTTTTGTAAAGTTATTGTTATTGTTTTACCATTAAAATGAGGTTATACAACATAATATAAATAGAAAAATGCAAATTGGCATGATTAGTCTAGTGCTTTCCATATTTGACTTAAAGGGCCAGAACAACTTTAAAAAACAATATTAGATATTACAATGACAACAGGAGGAATATAATACTAAAAACAATAAGTGTTAAGTAAAGGCACGAGTTACTAATTAAAGACAATAAGAGTCATACTCACCATATTTGATTAATCTCTGTTTCTATAAATAAAACACCACCCCGAAGACAGCAGATCCATCATAAGCTCCAGCAGACATTGGGTTTAAACAAATGATTAAAACCAAATGCAACTGCTACGAAAGTGTTACTTTCACCACAGGAAATCTCTGTACGTCACGTTTAAGATACAGTATGCCTCCAAGAAATTGAAAAAAAAAAAAAGATGCATAAAAAACATACAATTCTCTGACAAACATTATACAGTACTCAAAATGGTAGAACTATCTTCAGGTTTAAAATACACAGACAACACAGGAAACAAGTCCAGACCTCTACAGATCTAAAGGTATATGGGCTTAAGCCCCTCCCCTGTTACCTGACGCATGAAAACAAGTTGGTCCAGTCTCCAGTGTGGAATCTCACCTGTCTTCTTCATCAATGTCTACCCAGCATGCATCTGTTACAACCACAGTAACAATAATATGTGAACCAATTGCAATGTAAATAAAATAGTCAATAATAAAAGTAAAAACAAAAAAAGGAATTTAGGATGAGTATTTTGGGTCTTATGCATATGGATAACATGATTAGTAAAAAAGTACACTAACATTAAATTACAGATTCATAAAACTCTTCATAAAAAGGAACAGCGGCCACTATGAAAATATCCTTAGGCTATAACAATTATTAAAAATATACTTATTTGTCATAGCCAGGATATTGACTAGTAATGTCTATGTTTATTGTACATACGTACATGCAAATACTTTATAATGTCATAAAATGGAGTAATTCCACACAAGTAAATCAGGACAACAAGATACATCCACATTTTACAGCGAGTTCTCTGGTAGTAAAAAAAAAGTAGTAATGTGAGTGATTATGCAATAATGTGCGATTATGTACTGAATGTGAATGTTCTCGAATGTGCTCTTGAAGTTAATACAAAGTACCTAACATTTCTGGAAAAATTCGCCAGTTATTTTGTATATTTTTGTCAGTGAACAGAATTTTCTCCAAAAGAAGCAAGTTTTAGGTGTTCATATTTTTAAATAAATCAGGCTACTTTTTTATTGGAATGTAGGGTTCCATGAAGAAGCTTTAACATCCATGGAACCTTTTCATTCCACAAAAGGTTCTTTAGATTATTAAAATAATCTTCACACTAAGAAAAAATATTCTTTTAAGAAGGGTTCACTGTTAGGTTCTTTTGGCGCTTTTCCACTGCTGGTACGGCTCAGTACAGTTCGGCTCGGCATGGCACGGTTCGTCTCGCTTCGATTTTCTGCTGCGTGGTACGACCCGGCTCGGCGCGGCTCGGTTGCAAATACAATGACGCTGGTAGTGACGATTCTGTCTGACAAATCAGTGATCTGCAGTGGTTCACGTCACTTTTTAGTACCGGTAAGGTACGCTTGGAACCTCAACAGACAAGGTACCATTTAAAGCGAGCCGAAGCAAGCCGTACCATACCGTACCATGCAGTGGAAAAGCGCCACAAGTGAGCCGTACCGAGCAGAGCCGTACTGTACCATGCAGTGGAAAAGCGCCAAAGCGTGCCGTATCAAACCGTACCGTACCATGCAGTGGAAAAGCGCCATTTGTGGAACCTAAAATGGTTGTTCAATGTATCACTGTGAAACAAACTCTTTTGGAACCTTTATTTTTACAATTTTGCAGGTTTTCCCACTTACAAAGCATGTAGAAGTCTGTAATTTTGATGTGAGTGAAGGAATCTAAAACAAAAATCTAGAAAATCACATTGTATGATTTTATTTTAAGTAATTCATTTGCATTTTATTGCATGACATAAGTATTTGATACATCAGAAAAGAAGATCTTAATATTTGGTACAGAAACCTTTGTTTGCAATTACAGAGTTCATACGTTTCCTGTAGTTCTTTACCAGGTTTGCACACAGTGTAGCAGGGATTTTGGCCCACTCCTCCATACAGACCTTCTCCAGATCCTTCAGAGGTTTCGGGGCTGTCGCTGGGCAATACAGACTTTCAGCTCCCTTTCTCCCATTTTCTATTGGGTTCAGGTCAGGAGACTGGCTAGGCCACTCCAGGACCTTGAGATGCTTCTTCATAGAGCATCCACTCCATAGTTACCCTGGCTGTGTTTCATGTCGTTGTCATACTGGAAGACCCAGCCACGACCCATCTTCAATGCTCTTACTGAGGGAAGGAGGTTGTTGGCCAGGTTGATCTCACAACACATGGCCCAATCCATTCTCCCCTCAATACGGTGTGGTCGTCCTGTCCCCTTTGTAGAAAAGCATCCCCAAAGAAGGATGTTTCCACCTCCAAGCTTCATGGTTGGGATGGTGTTCTTGGGGTTGTATTCATTCCTCTTCTTCCTCCAAACAAGGCGAGTGGAGTTTAGACCAAAAAGCTCTATTTTTGTCTCGTCAGACCACATGACCTTCTTCCATTCCTTCTCTGGATCATCCAGATCATCACTGGCAAACTTCAAACCTGGACATGCGCTGGCTTGAGCAGGGGGATTTTGAGTGTGCTGCAGGATTTTAATCCATGACTGCATAGTGTGTTACTCATGGTTTTCTTTGAGACTGTGGTCCCAGCTCACTTCACGTCATGGACCAGGTCCTGCCATGTAGTTCTGGGCTGATTCCTCACCTTTCACAGTTGAACAGTACCTATGATAACAATAACAGACTTCTACATGCTTTGTAAGTGGAAAAACAAAGCTTTGCTGATAGGCTGTCCCAATCAGTGGTGCCTGCACAATCCAATCACGTTTGAGAGGGAAACAACATATTGAGGGTTTCTGAGATTTTTTTTTTAGAAGTAGTAACGGGTACTCATGGTTATGGACAGAAATGCAGTGGAGTAAAAAGTACAATATTTCCCTTTCAAATGAACTTGAGTTAAGTCATGAGTACTCCCCAAAAATGATACTTGAGTAAAGTGCAGATCCCTCAAAATTGTACTTAAGTACTGTACTCAAGTAAATGTACTCCGTTACTGTCTGGCTCTGATCTTCTTATTCATTTCTATGAACTTTGGAAGTGTGTCGAATTTTGTCTTCAGTACATGATTTTGACATATTTTTGCCAATTTTGTCTTCATATTGATGTCTTTGTGGAGTCAAGGTGTTTTTTCCCCCAACAGCTTATTGGTGGAGAATGCGGGCACGTTTGTTAGGCATCACCTGGAGAGATGAATTGTTCAGACTAACAGCAACTAATTGAAACACAGATCCTAACAACTTCCTTTCAGTGGGATACATTTTTATCATTAATAAAGCATGTTTTTTCAGGTATTTTTAGACGTCAACAATCCTGCTCCATGGGGAATCACTGTCGAGCAGAGTTTAATTCCAACCCCAATCAAACAAAACCTGAAGCAGCTAATCAAGCTCTTCAGGGTTGCTTGTAAATGCAAAGGCAGGTGTGCTGAAGCAGGTTGGAAATAAACTTTGCAGGACAGTGGGTCCTCAGCAGCAGTGTTGAAGACCTCTGTTTTAGGGACTGTTTAAGGCTGGTTCACACGGCAGGATTATTAGCCCGATTTTAGCCCCGATTCACCCCTTCCGACAATCTTAAGGATTCTCCTATTATCGTAAAATAATCTGCTCAGATATTCCTGCCGTGTGTGGTGTGTTAAGACTGCTCTCGTCTGCTCGGAAGGATGCCGGGACCGCTCCTATCTCAAATCGGGGATATCCAACATGTTGGATTGTTTTGGCCCGATTTCTCCTCGTGTGTGGTGTCCCCCGGGGACGAACGAGCACGCAGCCTGTGAACTGTGGCATGTAGCCAATCAGAAAGCGAGGTGACAAGGCGTAGAGGAAGCACCGGCGGGAAACAAAATCAAAACAGCCGGCACCCAGCGGTATAGTGCACCAGAATGTCCGGTGGACTTTTTTTTCCGTTAAAAACAAACCACACACTATCGCCACTGCATCCTCTTGGTCCATCATGATTGTTTACTCTGAAGTCGCGTTTGATCTCGAGGGATTTTGCGAGATTTTCCGTCTGACCTAGGAATGCTCGGGAGTCAAATCGGTTCGTGTGTAATGTGTTGATTTTGCCGTGTGGCTGCGCACGACACACCGTACGACCAAAACTGTTAGACCCATGATTTTTTTATCGCTGTGTGTGGGGTCTCTCAGGTTTGGAAAATTGGCCGACAATTTTAAAATCGTCCCGTGTGAACCAGCCTTTACACAACACTGTTGTATGTGTTTTGGAGGTTCATTTACATGACAATAAAGTTTTTGACAACATTGTTGTCTGTACGTGAAAAAAGCCAAGGATTTCCCCCCATTTTTAGTACATCGTTGTGTAAATGTACTCTTAGATCATGACTAACTTCACAGTTTAATCACATTCTGTGAATGCAATGTAAAACACTTAATTCATTAAAATGATCCTGTATATGTGACTCATAAAACTGACCTGTGCTTTGACAGACTTTCTCATGACCACTCAGTTTACATAATTACTAACCAAAATAAAAATCTAATTATAGAGTTTCTATATAATATTATTTAGCTCTGAGACAGGCACTTGAGAATACTGACAGAATACATTATCTCAGTTCTTTATTTCCAGCAGTTTGTTTACTATGATATTAAGATTTGACATCTGAAGCCAAGATCTCTATAATACTTCTCACAATAGGCTACAGAAATTACATTTATATTACATTTACAAAAATAAATGACAGGTACATGGTAAAAGTCTCCAAGATTGTTTGAATATGTCCTTCATATATCAAAAATTAAACAGTTGAAATCTCTTAATTTTAATCAAATTCAGCCCCTACCAAAAGTAGACAAAGCACCCCAAACAGTCTACATTCATCACATTGCACGTAAATCTGGTTGTCACTTCACCTTTTAGTGCTTAATCATGTTCTGTACACACACACACACACACACACAGTTATTTATGGGAGTGACAACAAACGTGTTCTACAACCGAATGAACTCCTGAAAATTCAAGTAGTGACAGCATCATTTAAATATTTGAATGCAGTGTGTGCACAGAACTGAATAACTATTTCTTTATGATGTATATATAACCTGTATATCAGAGATGTGTCTTTTTTCTCTGTGTGCACTGGAAAGAGGCAAGAGCCTTGACTTATTCACACATTTTTTGACAAAGGTCTTTCCACACCAGCCTTGCGGTCAAGGGGCTAAGTTGCCAGATATTTCTATGAAAAAAAGCAAATTAACACATAATCAATTACTGTAAGTCCAAATGCTGTAAATACGACCAAAGTATCGGAACCGGCAACTGCGTTTATTAACTATGTTTACATTATTAATGCCATAAAGTGTCTCATTTTATGAGGCAAGCCCAAATAACAAGCCCAAAGACGCTTATAAGTCGAGATGACAAGGCTGCAAGAAAACACAGCAAAGCAGCCTCCTGACCATAAACAAAACAGTGCCATATTGTCTAAGGGGATTTATTTAAAATTGCCAGATATAATGGTGCATTCAAGTCATTTCGGAAAGATTGTGGTATTCACAAGTTGAACGCACAAGAACACCATCATGAACGCAAGTTATAAATACTGGGAAGCTTGGGATTTTCTTTTAACCCCGCTCTTTATGAGTCAAACATGTCGGAATACAAAGATATTAAGAGGTATTTAGCAGTTATATTGTCAAGCTTTTGTACTTACAACAAAATAAGCGAATTTCCTGCACAAAATATGATAGCATTGTAATATGACCATATAATGTGTAATGATAAAGTTTACAGTGGCTTCATCAATTATTAAAAAAAGAAAAAAAACGTTAAAAAGCGAAACAACCTGAAAGTATTTGCTATTTTCTAGAAGTAGTGTTTCACCTGACATCGTAAACCCGACTTATCAACTCGTAAATACGAACTTCCCAGGAGGACTTGAACACACCATAACAAGCCTTTGGTAGTTTATATCACTATGGTTAAAGGTGCTGTATGTAGGCTTATTTTTTGACTGTACTAAAGCATAAACATACCATAATATGTTTGCAGATATTTAGGAAACATGCTAAGTTCATGCCGAATGCTAAAATCAGTGTCTGCTTTTGTTTTGGTCTCTGTGATTCCACCCACTGCCAATTTACCAAATACTAATTTGACTCCAGTTGGCAAAAAACACAACGCATTGCAGCCAGCAAATGATGCCAGCAAATGAACTGGGTCAGAGATTGCAGATTCTACCTGACAAAAAATGTCTCAGCATCCAACAAAAAATTTCTATGAACCGAGGCATATTAAAATCCAGACAAATCAACTCATCAACTTACAGTAATAAGTCCCCTCGCCTTCCACTGTCAATTGCCCTTGCTCCTGTTGCGTGTCCTCAATCTGGCAACCTGAACGAGCATTGAGTCTGAGGAGGAGGGGGCCGGGCAAACAACTCTCTCCAATATCAAAATATTATTAAATATCTTAAATTTAGACTACAGTACCCGTTTCAACCACTAGGTATCAATATTACATAGAGCACCTTTAAAAAAAGCGAATAACAAATGGCTGCAAGATGCAAAAACATTGCTATGGTTAAAGGTGCAGTGAGCGATTACTGAGAAACTCTGTTGACATTTGAAATCACCACAACAAACCCACCCCTACCTAAAAAGGATCAAACCCGTATCTTGATAGCTTCACCCCCAAATTTACGAACACGCTATGCAACACAGGCACCTCCCCCTAATGAGTGTAAACTGATTGGCTACAAGTGTGTTTTGGAGCTCGGTCCGATCAACTTTCAACAGCGTTTCTCAGAAATTGCTTACTGCACCTTCAAAACTGTCAATCATCACAATTTTGGAAGTAAATGCCTTTTCACACCAGGTATGATAACTAATTATAGCTAAATAATTGTATACACTCAGACTATAATATTCTGTTTATTACAAGCACAAGCTGCAGTTGTCATCTGTCTCTTTAAATGATCAAGCTCTTTAAAGTTAAACAATTTTTTAACATGTTTCACAAATGTTTTTTTTATGGTTGATCAGCAGGAAAAATCCTTCTGAAAGTGATTCCAATGATATCACCGCACTTTGTCATTTTTGTTATAGCAGTGGTGTGGAATATCTCTATTCTCATAGAATTAGAAGAAATATTAAAACTTTATGGTTAGTTATCGTCCTCCATGTGAATGGGTCTTAAGTCACATTAATTTAAGGGATATACTCTCGCATTAACATGCGGTTGACACTCTTGGCACAACGTGTATATGGTCAATATGAAGCAGGCTGTATTCACACCTGCATACCTGTAAGCCAATGGCTGTTATGCTTCATAAGTCAATGCAATACCACTCCACAGCTCTGACTCCAGTCTGATTTTTATCATATCAGAATGCATCCTTATACAGCTCACGCTGTCACTGTCCTTCCATTGTCATACTAGCCTTTATCCCAGAGTCTGTCCCCTAAGAAAAGACGTAAAAGTTAGTTTAAGAAGGAGAGCAAATGGTGTTTTATTTCAATGGAATTTAGCTGAGGGGATAACACATTAAACATTTTTGGACCTCTTTGCTACTAATCTTCAGTATGTTTGGCTTGATTTATTGATATTAGAGTTTAAACTATAACTGGAGTTTACTAAAAAATGTATCTTTAATAGAGAAGTCACAGGAAATTATGCGACACTCATTTACATAACTGCATTTGCATGGTCTCTGCTAACAGATGCTTCCACCTTGTTCTTAAATAAGAAAAAATCTGTGAACATACCTCAGTTATTTAACTCAGTTACTTATGGACCAAAACAGCTAAACCTTTGAAACAGGATGGAACAAACAAAGAAGGATTTGTGTTCCTGGCCTTTTTTAGCCCTCATTCTTGCTGGCCATGAATGGCATGATTGTCCAGTATGGCAAACAGGGCTTTGGTTGGATTTCCTGTTCTGTCCGTAGTCTGTGGTGGACCTGTGTCTTTGGGCAGACGTGAAGGTGGTTTTCTGGGGTCCCCAAAGTCTTAAGCGGTGCCTATAGTAAGTAAGGATCTGTATCTAACCAACACTGACCCCAAGACCGACCTGCAACTTGTCCGCTCTGTGGTTGACAAAGGCACCCATGATCAAGGTGGCAGGCAGAGGGTAGAGCCGCTTTTCCAGAACCCCACCAATGATACAGCGGCTGTCCAACATTCCTAAAAACCCCAAAAAACAATTATTTACAAAATTAAGAGCTACATGTGAATCATTTAAAGGATTACTGGTTTAACAATGGCGGCAAGTGCTATATTCTGTAATATATACATAGACTACCATTCAAAAGTTTGAGGTCAGTTTTTTTCCCCAAAAGAAATTAACACTTTTATCCAGAAAAGGATTAATTAAATTGATCAAAAGTGATATTAAATACTTTTATTATGTTACAAAAGACTTTTTTTATCTCAAATAAATAGTCTTCTTAAAAGGGACAATCCACCCATTTGCATTAAGATTTCCATTGTTAGAAACCCAGTCATACTATTGAATGGTTGTGCAACACACTCTCATTTTCCCCTGAGATGAGAGAAATCTGCTTGTTACCCTTTTTACTTCCTCCTACAATCACGCAAAAATCATTATTTTAGGGTTGGGTACCGAAACGCGGTGCCAATAGGGAACCGGTTCCGACGTAAACACTAATAACCAGACCGAATAAGAAGACCGGGCCGAATGCCTGAGTCTCTGTGTCATGAGGCGCACACACACAAAGTCTCTTGCTCTCTCCCTCTAGCACAGTCTGATCTGTCTCGTATGCACGCTCTTGCTCACTCGCTCTAGATTCCGGGAGATTTTAACTAATTTGCGGGCATCAGGGAGCCATTAGAATTAGCCATTCGATCTACAAACGCCGATCCAAGTGCGCTGAACTGTGCAGAATATCATATGGTCCGTTGTTTTCGGAAGAAACAAACACAAACCATTTTCTTCTCTTCAATTGGATCGGCGTTCGTAGATCGATTGGTAGAGACTATTTTTCAAAGATGGCTTCTTCCTGTATTCGCGAAGTTGACTGTTTGTGTATAAAATATCTTCTTATTAAACTGTATGGACACTGACAAAGCTCTCAATGCTTCGGTTTGAATGTAGGGACCCTTATTATGCTGTCGTGTTAGTGTGGGGCTATTTTGAGCCTTGTTAGTGGTAATAACAAGCGATTTTTATTTGTCATTACTCTATGCCCTATTTACTAGCGTTATACTAGCGTTATAGGCTAAACTGTTTTTAGAGATAAAACTATTTACATTCGGCAATCATGAAAACAAATCTCAGATAACGGTTGACTAGGTAGCAATGTGTAATTAGACCAAAGGTTCATTTAGCGCCGGAGTTGTCCTTTAAACTAATGTTTATTGTTATTGCTATGCCAAGATGATGTCTGCAAATTTTATCACATGTGTTCTATGGGAGATGTATAGAGCTTTGTTAATGACAGGGGTTCCAACTCAAGTATTTTGAATAGGATTTTTACTTCCTGATCACTACTGTTGCCGTCTAGAATGAGGAGTATGAAAAGCAAAACACTAATTTGAGTAATATATGAGTATATGAGTCAATGTTTAAAAACAGGTTTAAAAAGAGAAAGGGTTCACATTATGTCAGTATTCAGACTGGGCTGAACTTGGGTCTTTTATGATCAGTTTTGTGGCAAAAGATTGCTTGGCTCAACTATGAGACAATAGTGACAATAAAAAAAAAAAATTAAAAATATTCCAGTTATGGCACTCTTTGATATTTATATATTGCACAGTCAGTGTATCTGCCATTCCTACCTCTGAAGACCATTTTAGCTTCAGGAAGTTCCATCTGGTAACCAAAAGAGAAGGTTGTCTCTTGGGTCCTAGTACTCGCCTCAAACTCCACTCCCACCTGAATCTGCAGAAATCAATTAACACTCTGCAGCCTTACGAAACTATTGCGGTGTCTTGTCATTGAAACAATAACACATCCATCAACACCACCATACCTGTTTGTTGGCCCTGTGGTAGTAGCTAGCATGTGCACCTCCTTTACCAGCATTCAGAGTTGCAACCCAATTTGGCCCTAAGGCAGAAAATGATATGACATTTGAGCTTTATGTACCTTTGAGAAACAGAACATTGAACATACAAATAGGATGAGTAACACTAAGTAACTGCTTAGGACTACTTACACTGGTGTATAACAAATGGATGACCATTGCACTAAAGCAGAAGACCCATCTAACCTGAGTACTGGCCTGCCAGGGTAAGTATGCCCCCTTCTTCTGATCGACCTCGATGGTACACCAGCTCTCCCCCCAGTACCAGCTGCGGGGATACGCTTTGAAGAAAGTGTGCAACCATGATAACTGGCACAAAAAAGGCACAAACAGATAACAAACATTAACTAGAGTTTAATTTGTTAATAAATGTGAGCAGGGCTGCCAACTAATGCAATTGCCGCTATGCAGAAGGTCGGTTATCTTTGCAATATCCTAGCAGCACCAAAGTAGAATTAATATTAGGAAATTATTTCACAACTTTTATTACATACACCTCGGAAATATGCTGAGTTCTGGCCCTTGGGGATCTCAATGGAGGGTATGGCCCTGGGTGTGACAGGGCCTCGGTTTAAGCCATGTAAACCGATCATCTCTTCCTTTTTACAACTAGTTATAGCACGAAATAAACATGAATGGACACCCAAAAATTGAACTGAGATTGGAATCGAGTCATGTGAACGTATGAAGACCCAAAGATTGAATCGAGATTGGAATTAAATCGTGTGAACACGCGAAGATTGAATCCAGTTTGGAATTGAAGACCCGTAGGTTGAATCGAGACTGGAATCAAGGCATGTGAACATACGAAGATCTGAAGATTAAATCGATAATAGAATCAAATCGAGTGAACACACAAATACCTGAAGATTGAATCGAGGTTCTAAGCTTGCTAAGGTTGCTGAGGTGTACTGAGTGGTTTTACTTTGTTGCTATGTGCTTGCTAGGGTGTCTGAGGAGTAGTCAGAGTGTTGCTACTTAGCTGTTATGGTGTTTTGAGTGCTTTAGCGTGGTGTTAAGGCCCCGATATACTTCAAAAGAAGTCGAAGAACGAACTGATGTGACATTTTGAACAAAATCAGGTCGAATAAAAGTTCATTTGGAGTTCGTTTTGGGAGTTTGAAACTTTATGGAAAGGTAAACAACTTTGTACGGTCCGTGGTGTTATGTAATAGGTAGCTGTCCACCTTCTTCCAGCATATACTGTATTTACAATTTACATATTCAACTAAAAGCTGCTCTCAGTAGTGTGGGCGGTGTTGGATGTTTGCTAACAGCATATCGCTGCTCATGTATGATTCAAGAACTATATCAGGGACTTTATGCGTTGCCGAACCAGTTTGGCCTAAAATATTCAATTAAAGTACACCCTGAATGTTTATGGTTATATTTTAATATTTCAACACATTCGCATGTTCACAGTTATGTCGGTTAATGGTCACATGACATGCAGGTAAACAGACAAACTAATCATCTTTAGTAAGTGTTATTATTTCAACAGGTTGTATTTTAAAATGATTTATTCATTATAATTAATTATTAGTTTTTCACCAACTCACAAAATTTCTTCTCTCAGGAAACCCCAGATTGGTAAACCATGTCTTAAACTATCAAAGACAGACCCACTTATGACAAGAAATAACTGATTCAAACATATCTTTTTTTACAGAAGCAGGGTGACTCTTAAGGAGTTTAAAATGAATGCATTGCTACTCAAAAAGTAAAAATAAATAAATAAAAACATTTCATCAAATTGACGTGCAAGAGCAACAGAAGAAATACCTGTTCTGCAAGTTCTGTATTGTGTTTTTTTTAACCAAAGCACATTCCTGTGACATCTATAAATCTTTCATCTGTCATAATGAGGAACTCACGCGATCATACCTGATTCCCTGAGAATGTCAGGGTTGGCCAAAGTAATCGCTGCTGTGAAGTCACTGCCTCTATACTCCGTCTCAAACTGCCATGTGACAAACTGTGCCTGTTGAGTCTATATAAAAGAATATGAAGTCAGTCCACACCACATTGTTAAAAAGTGTTTAAACTAGAACAATATTGCATAATGCTACTAACCTGAAATACTGCTTTAGCTCTTATTTTCTCACTCAGATGAAACAAAGAGTGTGCATTTAAGCTGCCAGAGGAGTCCATTTCCCCAATAAGCATAGGTGAGTCCTTTATACACAAGATAATTGGATTGTAAATTCATCATAACTTATCCAATGCATATACCTAACACACTTCAGGCAATTAATCCATTATTATTTAAACCTGCCCATTAGGATGCACTCCTTTTGAAATGTGTTCAAACAAACCTAATAACGTGTACTGCAGGTTTTTAATTTATTCAAACATTGCATAATATACAGAATGAGTCATAAGCTAAAAATAACTAATGTTTAATGATAAATAAGTTACCTAACCGAAAGCCTACTTTAGAATTTGGTAAGAAAAGGCATTCGAGTTATCCAACTATGTCAAAAGTCAGTATCAGTCCATTTTCATGTCTTTATGAAGTAGCAAATGTTCCCAGAACAAAACATTGCTATTAAATAATATTTGGCAGAATACTGACATACTTTTAAAAGGTATGCATTTCTAGTTTTTAACTGCAAAAATGCACTGTGTGAATGGGGCATTAATTAATGAGGATAAGAAACTTACCAACCCCAAAAGTTTGAATGGTATATAACGTCTAGTGTGTGTAAGCACCTTTAGAAGTGCTACAGTATATAAAATATTGTCTTTATTACTGTACTCATAATTCAACAAAAATCACAAGTCCAATTTTCCTGCCATTTTGCCCTGATTCCAAACTACATCTATATCAAAAGTGGTGAATTTCTCAGTGTTTAATATGTGACAGCATAGTTGCTGAACTAATATACACAACATTGTAATGTCATTTGTAGGATAACCCAATCAAATTGTAATGCAGAAGATTAATACGAGAAAAAAGAACTGAACATGATCCAGATCTGTCAGACTCTTACCGTTTCTTTACTGTCAGTGTCTGATTGTAGGTGCTCAGCGTGAAAGCGATAACTGGACGGAGCAACAGCACTGAGGTGAAACGTGTGACTGACCTGAGGAGAGAAGAAACACAAATATTTAGTGTTAAATTGTGCTGAAAATGTTCAATAAAATTAGTGAAACTGTCCTGGATAGTGTCATAATTGAACCACATTTATGAACAAACCTTGAAAAAACTGCTGAGGGTCTTATTTATCACCAGTTTTACACCTTCAATCTGCTGTGGAAATACATCTAGAAGCACAAGCAATTAAAATGACTTCTAATAGACCACTTTTTACTTTTTTAATTTATACTAAAATGTATTTTAATACAATCAACAGAGATAGAAAAAAGTATCAGACCTTTACAGTTGCGGTGTAGACCATCAAAGCTTCCCGGGTTAGGCAGCCGTCCATCTCTCCTATCCCACCGTGACAAGGGTCTATCTTGTGGAAAGGGTGAGTTTTGGCGCCCTGGCCGGTTTGACAAGGCCAGCACACTGCCCATGGGAACCCAGAGCCAAATGAGGACCACACACTATCAACCTGATCTTCTGAACCGTGAGAGACAAAATTATTAATTTAATCATAAATACAAAACATTGGATCAAGCATTCTTCATTCACTAAGATATTACTTTAAGAATTACTAAGATATTAATTTAAGAATTTACTGAGATAATACTTTGCTAAATTGGCCACATTTCACAAAAATATATAAGAAAAGATAATGGTGGGAGTAAATAATTTTCAACTCTGCAAGAACTGGAATCAACATGATAATAACGAATGACCTGCTGCACAATTGAGATCGTCAATAATCATGCATTTTCTGACATTACTTACGCTGAATAAATGTGGGTTGTGCCGTTACAGTATGCAAAAATGATATCCTGAAATCATACAGAAATATAGCTTTTTATATGCAGTGACCGCTGGAAGAGAGTAAGGTGAAAGGATGCTGAGGGATGTACAGACAACTCAACTACAGACTCTAGCGGCGGAACCAGCTGATCAGTGCAGTCATTTAAAGAAGAGCAGCTATGAAACACCTCCGTGCAGAAACATGCTACTGTTCATTCGGCACACCGCTGAAAACAAGACATTTGAACAATGAATGAAGCGTATTTGCAACGTTGTGTTGTTAGCATAATATATTGTTGTGATATAATACAAGGTAGGCTCTTTTAATAATAAAAGTCACTTTAAATAACATATTCTGACGTCTAGGGACACGTACATTGGGGTGACTCATGACCCATTTCTGCGACTCGGTTCGTTTCAATGAACCGGTTCAGCCCTCCTTTAACGTCATCACATGGTCCCTGTAGGCGATAGGGCCATGTCCAATAAAGCCATCTGTATGCACGCTCATGTAGTTCTTGAGTAGTTGTTTAGTAGTGAGATACACTAAAAAGATTCGACTCAAAAGAACGACTCTTTTACGAACCGGACACCGCAACTGTCAACATGGCAGATGAAGCCACTAGAAAGGCAGTTTCTGATATACCGCTTTTAAAAACAAATTCAGGACCAAGAGACAAAGAACTATGGGTTCAGAGACTTCGAGAAGAATATTTAGCTCTCATAAAGGTGAGTTAATGTATTGTAGCAAAAGCATATTAGGGAGCTACGATGCTAGCTGTATGAACGAATAACCATACGTGTCATTAGGTTGAAAGTTTTCAGTCTTATTGACTTAGCTCATTGTCATTTATGATTAACAGTTTGCGTACAAATATAAACTTAATGTTACAAAATGTATGCGCTTCTTATATAATTGCGTTGCCTTGCAGTATGTTGAAAATAACAAAGCAGCAGACAATGATTGGTTCCGTTTGGAGTCCAACAAAGAGGGTACAAGGTCAGTATTATTACCAGTCTTCGTTTTAGGAGCTCTTATATTTTCATTAACATCTTGCTACCTTTTCTGTGTAGGTGGTTTGGAAAGTGCTGGTATATTCACGAGCTTCTAAAATATGAATTTGACATGGAGTTTGATGTAAGACATTTTCAATTCACGTACATTACTTTCAACTTAATTTTATGAAAGTCTGGATAATGTATTTAACTTCACCCTGATTTCCAGATTCCAGTTACATATCCTGCCACAGCACCTGAAGTGGCCATTCCTGAGTTAGATGGGAAGACAGCGAAGATGTACAGGTTCGCTTCATGTGTTTATAGCTTTTCACTTTCATCACAATTATGTAATATTGTGTTAAAATGTACTTTTATTGTGAAATGATCTTTCAAAACCATCTTTTGTCATAGAGGTGGAAAAATCTGCCTGACAGACCACTTCAAGCCACTGTGGGCAAGAAATGTCCCAAAGTTTGGTCTGGCTCATCTAATGGCTTTGGGAGTAAGTAAAGTTACATGTCTAAAATGATATATAATGTTATGTCATTCATTTCCTAAACTAATTTGTTTCTTTAAAGGAATTGCATCTCATATTAATAAATAATCTCTGTTCTTTCCAAAGCTTGGACCATGGCTTGCAGTTGAGATTCCAGACCTCATTGCGAAAGGCATAATTGAACATAAAGAACAGCAAAACAGCTGAAAGTAGCCATAGCATCCTTTGCATTTCACTATGTCTTAATGATGCAAACACAAATGAGGTTTTAACATGTTTTGTCAAAATCATGGCTACCTACTCTGTGGTTTCAACTGTATATGTCACATTCGTACGTCACTTTTTTTTTTTTTTTACCGTTCAGGTTAATAATGCCTGTTCAATGGAATGTGTATGTATTCATCAGTAAAGCCTGGTATGTAAATAAATGCGGGACCATTTTAAATTGTGGTCTTGGGGAAACCTCACTAGCATTTAAAATGTTGAAGTTTTATAGCTTGCAAAAAAAAAAAAAAAATCATAGTATGATTTTGCCAAATTATTCACTTTCTCATCTGGAAGTTTTTCTGCTTCCAGCTTTTTAAATAAGAAAAAAATGTGGTGTTGTAGGTTACTGCTCATCCTAATTTACTAGATATTTATTAATCCGATGTGTCTTTTAAATGACAAGGTTCAGTGACAGGAGGTTCCCATTTCCTTCTGGGTGTAATGGTTAATAAAGCAAGATGTAATGATTCCTATAATTAACTCTTACTCCATAATGAAATACTATGTTGCAAATAAATCAAATAAAAGAACAGATATCATTGAGACCCATGAAATATGGCTATAACAAACATTCCTACAGGTTTTGCAATTGAAATCCTCATAACTATTGCATGTGTAATAAGAACAGGAATAGCTCTGATCATCTATTTTCAACCATAATGCACAAAATGGATGCATTTTTTTTAATATTTTTTTTTTAAATAAATTTAAATATAGTATAGACCATTAAATCATAGGCAATCAATATACTTTCAGTTTTGTTTATAAACTCAAATATGGTGCTGAAAAAAAGTGATTGTCAGAGGATGAATGCCAAAGATGATTGTGAGTCCCTGAGAACTATGAGGAAAGTCAAATCTTATATACACAGATAAAACTGGTTTCAGTTCAACTGTAAACATTAATTACATGTCAACAATCCAGCCTAAAACAAGCCTCTGGATGAAGCATCCGTCATGATCAGTTCTGATTAATAGACATCACACTTGTGTTTGATCATAAGGGTGCAGATAGTCTCTCCACATCCCCAACACACCTGTACAGTATGAGCAGGGCCTACTTTTAACTTGCACACTGCACAAGTACCTGAGGTGTTCAAATTTGTTGGAGCCTTTTGGCTTTGAGAAATGAGCTGTTTGAGCTCAGTTAAGATGGTCATGTTGGGAGCAAGAGCAATATCTGTGACCTCGATACGTGCTGGGTCAAAGACACAGTCCTCTTCGAGACCGCTAGGCACAGCTTTCATGCCACAGTTAGGAGGTACCCAGGCCGTGTCATAGCCATGGCTATTCCAGGTCGTCTGCATGGGATGGTTGTCCTTATCAATTTTTTTGATTTTTCCACAGTCGACGCTTAATTTAAGCACTATTCTGTCAGTAGGTTGTGATCTCAGAGGATAGCGCTCTGCTTTCTTCTGGTCACGGCTCACATAAACACCAGGTCCTAGCATTCCATCTGCTGATGGCCTGAACCCATTTGTTATGATCTGACGAGCTTGCTGCACAGAGGTGCCGTGATACATTGTATAGCGTCTGCCTGATTTGGCTTCCTGGTTTGCCCGAAGATGACGATCTTCATCATAGAAAGCCTCCCAGCCAAAGAATTGGATGGATGACATTTTTTTTTTATTTCTCCTGTGGATTAAATGGAATAATAATAATATTAATAAATTCCTTGTCAGTTTGACAGTACCAGCAAAATATCTGGACACATCTTTATTACTATTTTCTATAATTTAGAATACTAATAAAGTCAACCTAAAACTATAAAATAACAAATAAAAGTAAGGTAATGTATGTTAGTTAGAAATACAAATCAATGTTTCAATATAAATCAGTATTATAGCAGTATTATAAGTGACCACCTTGTGCCTAATTTACAAATCATTTGCTTGTATAATAATTGGAATTTCACTTTTTTAAATAAATTAATTGTACGTATCTAAAGCTGTAATGCCAAACATCACAGACATATTCAGAATGAAACATAAATTAAGTTTGGCCAAATCCAAATATTTCACTTCTAATGTAGCCTATTGTCAGTTCTTTGTGTTACTTTGTTGTCAGTCTAAAATTATGTGTAAATATTTCCAATAAACCAATGTCAGCAGTTCCGCAATATAGTTCGTGTAGCCATCAATCGGGTCATCATGGGGTCTATATACGACCCCAATCGACTTTTACTTAATAAAAAAAAGGGCTCCCTTCATCTCAGTGGAATTAGATTTTGTGACTGTTCATACATTATCTATCTATACACACACACACACACACACAAACTGGGCTTGATTCGGTGGTTCTAAAGGTAGCCTATGTAAAAATAAATGTTTATGGGGTCAATATGACGCCACATTGAAATGAATGGGAAATGTGAAAAAAAACTAAATATATTTTCTTCATGTGTCAAAAATAATAATAAAAAAAAAAAAAATAATTCCGGCATAAATCTGAAAATGTTTACACAGAAATGAAGGCCTAGGCTACTAGAGCATAAATGCAATGTATCATAAAAAATATATATATATATTTCATGTGCAAGCTAATGGTGTAGTTGAGGAATTGTGTGGTATATGGATACAAAAGTACTTTATATCTCCAAAAACAGCATTAATGAATAGATGAGAGGTAAACAAAAAAATTGATATATTATTTGTATGATTAAAAATTGATATTTTTGTACAATAACTCAATCAATTGTTGGGGTCGTATAGACCCCGAAGCCCAGAAACAGGAAACGAAGCATTTGAAGGTAAAAACATTGAACTTTACACATTTTATTTTCTCGAAATATTAATCGATCAAGATAGCCCTTTATTATTCTAAAAGGAAAAGACCTACCTTAAAATACTTCACGCAAGTGAACAAAAAATTACATGAAACTCCGAGTCTGAACTTTCTAATTTGGTTATACTCCGGACGGGAAGCTTTCACTTTCAATTATTGTTGAACACCTCTTCCTGTTTTTGCTTGGGGACAGGGTGGAGTGAAAAAAAATTGTCTTTCACTTGCTTACCAAGGGAAGTCAAATGTGGTTCACCATGCATTAGTTTAATACTTGAAAGTGCGGACACTTGTGATGCGTCAATCAAATAGTGTAGACCCGCCTTCTTTTTTATTTATTTATAAAAAAGTATTTCATATTGAACAGAGTGATAAACTTGGTGACCAGCGATGTTGCCATATCCGCTTATTATGAGCGACCTTTTCCCCACAGTTGGTCAATAATTTGATCCAACTACATAATGTCATTAATCACCATATTTTTTTTTCTTTTTTTACGTGTTTCTGCGTTTCAAAACTCCCTCTTCTAACGTACTCTCTACCTAAAAAATACGTATTCACGATTTAAATGACCAATATCTATAGGCTATACCTGAATATATTACAAAATGGGTTGATAAATGGGGAAAAGTGTAGCCTGAATTGTTCGAAGACGTGGCCTCTACAAAATAACTCTATTATTTAAATTCAACTCAATACAATGATCGTGTCCACGTATTTGGCAAGAGGCGATTAAATAAGATTTTACATGTGATGGTTCAATTTAATCACCTATTTTGGTGCGGACCCGCTCATTTTTCTAGTAAGATCTGGCAACACAGCACATGTGCTGTGCTAACGGGAAACTGGAACGTGGCCGGTGCATGAATATTTTGGTTATAAAATTAGAATTTGAACATGTACTCAAGGCTGGCGGTATAGAAATCATTTCGTCATAATATATATATTTTTATTATCTATTGTTGTTGTTTATTCGTGTTTTTTTTTATTGGTTTTTTTTTTTTTTTTTTACCTGGATTGCTCCCAGGACACATAAAATAGTTATTTTTACTACATACTACACGCGCTCGCAGCGTATCTCATAGTAACCGGTGTTCTTGTTTACGGTGGCAGAAGCACCGGTTGTTTTGTTTTCCACTATGCGACATTCCACGGGGAACGAAACTTCACTGCTACTGCTGCTGCTCGCTAGCTAATGACATTGAACCTCTATCTTTCTCAATTACACCGTCTTACGTAAACGGGACTAAAACCTGCTGCTAAAACCACCTCTGGTCTTCAGGTGTTGCGTTAGCTCCCAACCAACGTCATTAAGCTTTGGTATTTTAATTAGATTTCAAGCTGTATCGCGAGAGATGCCAGAGCGTCATGGTGACATGCAGTCTAATGTTAATGCCGCATTGTGTCCTGCCAGCCTCCATGCGCTCAGTTCAAGCTCGATAGTCAACGGGACGCAGTAACGCCTCCTCAAAATGTATCGAAAAGTTTGGTTCTCCTACTAATGTGACAGCTTGCTGAATTGTCTGCTTGGCATTTTCTGGAAATGTCCAAGACACGCGAAGTGCTACTTGTTGGGGAAGGCAACTTCTCTTTCTCAGCAGCTTTGAGCGAGACCGCAGGCGATGAGGTCGGCTTGACCGCCACTTGCTTTCAAAGCGAGAATCAAACATTTAAACACGAGGGAGCCTTGCGAAACGTACAGCGACTCCGTGAGAGAGGTCGGTGATGTGGTTCTTCATCCTGATAATGTTGTCAAGATTGTCTTGTGCACATGCTCTTACGTCGGTGCTTTCTTGCGTCTTTGTTGTCCAGTCTGCATGATTTCTGAAAGATATTTGTTCTATTTGAGTAAACCCAGAGTTTATAATCCGCTAATGTAGACATTTTTAAGTTTACCTATTCTTCCTACATAAGTAACGTTATCATAGCCATGAATTTGCATGCCTGCAGCCAAGTCCATAAATTTATCCAGCCGGTTGCTATGAAACGACTGAGGAGGGTTTAACAAGCCTCCTTGAATTCTGTATGATAATTCCACAGAGGAGAGGCCTTTAATTCATTATAATATTTTCCAACAATTCCCATTGCAGGAAATGCTGTTCTGTTTGAAGTGGACTGCACTTGTCTAAAGGAGCACGAAGCCATCCAGCATCATCTTTTTGACTGTGTTATTTTTAATTTCCCTCACTGTGGGCGTAAAAGTGGCGTAAAGAAGAACCGCATCCTGTTGGTGAAATTTTTTCAAAGGTAAGTGACACACTTGTGGCTAAGGTCTTTATAAGGGTGTTACATAAGATTGACTTCTAGCATTATATAATGTTAATACTGAGGGGATCAAGAGCTTCACATTTCATGTAAAATGGATGGATGTTTTGTGTTTTTTTTATTTTCTAGTGCTGTTGCAGTCCTAAAGGACAATGGGGAAGTGCACGTCACCTTGTGCAATGGGCAAGGCGGCACTCCGTGTGACAGTCCAATGAGAGAATGGCACAATAGTTGGCAGGTGGTTGCCATGGCAGCAGAAGCAGGGCTAATTCTCAGTGAAATCCGTCCCTTTGACTGTGAAACGTATCAAGGTTATAGATGTACTGGTTACAGGTAAACAGCTTTTCACTTGGACAAGTGGACATAGTCCACTAAAATGTGATTTGACATGTAGTCAAGTCAGCTTTATTGATATAGTGCTTTATACAATACTGATTGTTTCAAAGCAGTTTGACAGTGATAACAGGAAAATTATGCACTTTTTTGGTTCCGTTGAAAAGATCGTTAATTATCAAATTAGTTAATGTCACCTATAAAGCAGTTCTGTAAAAAAAATGATATCATCATCCAGCTCAGTTTAGTTCTAGAATAAAGAACTTTTAATATTCCTGTTACAATTATGTAATGGCGTTCAGTTTTAAATTTAATAAATACAATTATTTTGCTAAGGAGTCAAGACAAAGGTTTTCATGTAGAGGGAGGTCTGACCCACATCTTCACTCGGAGTCTCCCGCACACCATGCCTGAGAAACTGAAAATGGAAAAACCCATTGGAAGGAGACTGTTTGTTTTGAGCTTCCGGCAGAGTTGAGTAACTATATGAACAGGTGAGTGGTAACTTGTTGCTTATTGAATAGTATCGAAACTAAGTGTGCGGTTAAACTGAAAAGTTTTCCTATGCATTTTTTTTGTGTGCAGACGATAATGTTGTCAAAACGATCCAACACTAAAAACACTGTTTTATGCATGCCAGGCCAGTAGTTGGCGCTGTCACAAAGAAACACTACACGCCTATACACTGAACAAATAATATGCATGTGCATGACGTCACCATATTCACAAATTCGCGGTTTTCGTTCGTTTGTATGTACGTTCGTTCGTTTATTTATTTATAGTTGTTTATATAGTTATTTTGTAGTTAACACGGAGACGATAATGGTATCGCATTCAACAACTTGAACTTTGAAACCTGTTTTCAAAAGTTTGCATTTTCAGGTCCCAAAACACCATTGTCCTATAAATGAATGCCCAAAACGCAAACAGTCACATTCTTTGTAATAATCTGTAACATTCAGTTATTTATTTTCAGAAGTGACTTATATAATGTTATTAATGTCAAACATGCAGAAATCTGCATGAAAAACAAATCAGTTCAAGCATAGGTGGCAATAGTGGCGCAGATAAGACATACTTCACCATTAACTCATTACCCAACTCATTGAAACATTTTTCCATCATTTATGACGCAGCGCTTTCCCTCCATTGAAACAATTTTCCGTCAATCTGTGTTTTCACTTATATGGTAGGGGGCGCTATTCCACATCTTCTGAAAGAGTACAGAATCTCTGGAACAAAGCACTGGCGAAGAAGCAGAAACAAGTTATAGAGCATTTACATTTAGTCATTAGTCAGACGCTTTTATCCAAAGCGACTTACATCATAGAAGCATTGCGTATGCACATGTAAAATAACGTGATCATCAAACATTGTGAACATCATATACAGTTGTTAACATTTTAAGTGGATCAAAACCTTTCATCAAAGATGAATTTTGAACAATACCTTTGTCTTAGGACAACTTTGAAGAACTTTTTTGATTCACTTCAACTTTGGGGGTGTTGATGGACTGTCTTGTTGTCTGTTCTTTCAATTTGACATTATTACATGTTTAGATATTCAAACAAAATATTAATTTAAAAAATGTTGACGATGGCTGGCAACTTTTTTAACTCGTTAAAATATTTAACTTTTTTTTTTTCTGTCATCCTTTGTATATGATCTCGCTTTCATTTATTCAACTGCTATTAAAGAAAGCGTGATGAGAAATATAAGAAATTAAAAATAAGAAATTAAATTAAATCTGTACTGGCATGCAGTCTGTGGATATTCCTGTCTGTGTGACAGACAAAGAGGACTCATGCTCACAGAAATCTGTTTCAGACATAAAAGTATGCCAAAATGTCTGCTTTGTCAAATATTCTCGTAAGCACAGTCTTAAACTAGTTAAATGAAGTCTTAAATTTAAAAGTGTTAAAGTGACTGTCAGCCTAATAAACGCGCTGCTGTGATGTAATTAAAGGAATAATTCAGTTTGAAATTAATTTTTGATATGTTTTAGCTTACCTCAAGGGCATCCAAGATGTAGGTGTCTTTGTTTCCACAGTAGTTTCAATTTTGATATTTTTCGGTCAAACCGTTGTTGTCTGTCAGTCATATAATGGAGGTTTATGGGGTCCTCCTCAAAGAGCATGCACAGAGTAGTTCAAATTAAACATGATTTACTGACTCGTAAATGTAAGTACACACTGATGGCCTAAGACACGAAACGAGCGGTTTGTGTGAGAAAACGAACAGTATTTATATTGTTTTTACCTCCTGTAACCACAGCCATGTAACCTGGAGGTGATCTCTTGCGCGTGTACGTCACTCATTGTTTACATAGAGATTTCGGAAGTTTTACCTTTTGCTGTGACGATCTAAACATATTTAGATATACAGGAAATCGCAATGGAAGGCGATTTCGATATATCTAAATATGTTTAGTGAAAGATAAAACTTCCGAAATCACTTCCGGCGCTTGCGCAGACCGAAGCGCTCATGCCGTCAGATCAGTTGGACATGGCTGTGGTTACAAGAGGTAAAAACGATGCTCACACAAAATGCTCGTTTCGTGTCTTAGGCCATCA